TATATATATATATATATATATATACATGAGTGTGTATATATGCACAGTTCACCGGCTCCAAATGTATCCAGGAATGCTCATCTTGAATCTATCGCTTTCAGTCTGCAAATATATCAAGTAACAAGTCTGTATGCTGAATCTCTTGGCACGCTCGCAGATTCTACAGGAAAATCGGTACGAAGACTTTGCAACCATAGATTGGCTTAGGGACACATCCGCTGAAAGAGTGCGACAGCGGCATCTGCACAGCCAAGCGGTGCGTGGGTGTGTTTGTTATTGTTTGTATGCGTATGTGTGGAGGGTGCGTGGGTGTGTTTGTAATTGATTGTATGCGTATGTGTGAAGGGTACGTGGGTGTGTTTGTAATTGTTTGTATGCGTATGTGTGGAGGGTGCACTTGAGGTTGAACGTGTACAGGTGCTTTTTATGTGTATTGGAAGTTCTTTCGCATGCATGTGTTGGCGTGTTACTCCATGCAGATTGTAAATCAGCAGAGGCTTGTTTCCTCGGCTCGATATTCCAGACAGTTTAAACGTTATTGGAGGGTATTGTTTACATACGCTAAGAAGTCAGAAGAAGCTTGTTTCCACTGTTCGGTATCCCGGACAGTTTAAACGTTATTGGAGGGGATTGTTCACAACGCTAAGTCAGAAGAAGCTTGTTTCCACAGTTCGGTATCCCAGACAGTTTAAACGTTATTGGAGGGGATTGTTCACATACGCTAAGTCAGAAGAAACTTGTTTTCACAGTTCGGTATCCCAGACAGTTTAAACGTTATTGGAGGGGATTGTTCACATACGCTAAGTCAGAAGAAGCTTGTTTCCACAGTTCGGTATCCCAGATAGATTGAATGTTGTTGGAGGAGTTTGTTCACATATGCTGTTCTCGTTCCTCAGTACAGCAAAGCAGCGCCCTGGGGTGGATCAGTAAGACGCTGGGCGACTCGTGGCAGGGCTGGCTGGTAGTGTGGCTAGTAGGTAGGCGATGAATCTGTATTGTCTATACATATGCAGCAGATATGTAGGTAGGCTATAAATCTGTATTGTCTATACATATGCAGCAGATATGTAGGTAGGCTATGAATCTGTATTGTCTATACATATGCAGCAGATATGTAGGTAGGCAGTGAATCTGTATTGTCTATGCATATGCAGCGGATATGTAGTTTATCTGGTGTACATGTTTGGTATTGCTAGTGGATCCCAGTGGTTCTGTGTTATCGTAGCGTATGTAGCATACATGTGGTTTAATTGCTGTTATGTGTGGTATGGCTAGTTATTTTGCAGATAATTATTTGTACCAACACTCGAACGAAAGGTTTAGAAAACACGTGAACTAGTTTTGGGATAGTTAACGGCTGGTGCGCGCGTGTCAGACTGACTGGCTGTATGGGGAGAAGGTGGGCACCGGATGTGTTTTCAATTTGAATATAAAGGCTTCCTATCCTTTTCTGGTATCGTTGAGTGGTATGGCAAGTAGATTATCAATGGCCTAGTCTAGTATCTGGGTATGTAGATATCAGTTTATTGAGTGTGAATGTATGGTGTGGCTAGGTGGTGTGCGGTAATTCGCAGTCAGCAGTGTGCGTGTATGCTGCTTGTATAATGAGTGATGGTTATCTATGACTTGGCTAGTAGATGTGCTGCGAATTTCAAAAATGATATGGATATGAGAGCTTCGACAAAAATTATAAACATAAACAAACACTCTTATACGCACACAAACCATCGACATAGCTCTTGCCATTAACACAGATAACGTAGACATAATTTGCTGAAGTACAATTGTTTATACAACGAGGAACCTCACAGCTGTCTTTACATGAATTTTCACCGCCGCTATTGGTGTTGCTACGGGTATGAGTAGCGGGCTTCCACTACACACAAACACACAAAACATACACAAACAGATACACATACATCACTTATCACCGCACATATACAGATACGAAGTGTTTACACCCACAGATATACGAACCATTCTCACCCAGGTATCTTTTCGGGTGGGGGTTATTTTTACGCAGCCATTGACATTGCTAAGGTATGGATCAATGGGCCTCGACTGAACACATACACACACTATCATGTACACATACACATCACATATCACACATATACAGATACAAAGTTCACCCGCACAGTCATATAACCCATCCACGTATAGGTATCTGTACGGGTATTTTTGCCGCGGCCATTGACATTGTTACGGATTGGATCAGCGGACTTAAGCTGGGAGTGTGTACGAGTGCGTTTTGGCTCAACAACACACTATGTTGCTGGACCTCTCGCGAAGATAACTGCGAGACATGGGTGTACTGGACTGGGGTGGTTGATACTGACACCGACCCTAGCGATGCCTCAGCGGGTAAGTCGTATTTTTATATAGAGAATTGTATATATATATGTTTATATATGTTGGCATGAAATAAAACACACACACATATAAATATTAAGTTTCACCCCCGCCCAACAAATACACACACACACACACTCACTCACACACGTGAAATTTTCCCCCTCCTTCAACACATACACACACACACACACACACACACACACACACACACACACACACACACACACACACACACACACACACACACACACACACACACACA